AAAAAAAAAAAAAAAAGAAAACCAAACTCTTTTTTTTTGAGGCAGGGTTTCCCTCTGTTGTCCAGGCTACAGTGTGGTGGCACAATTATAGCTCACTGCCTTCGAACTCCTGGGCCTAAACAATCCTCCTGCTTCAGCTCCCAAGTAGCTGGGACTACAGGCACACACCACCACACCCAGTTAATTTTTTTTTGAGACAGAGTCTAACTCTGCCACCCAGGCTGGAGTGTAATGTTGTGCTCTTGGCTCACCGCAACCTCTGCCTCCCGAGTTCAAGCAATTCTCCTTCCTCAGCCTCCCAAGTAGCTGGGATTACAGGCATGCACCACACCCGGCTAATTTTTGTATTTTTAAGTAGAGACGTGGTTTCACCATGTTGGTCAGGCCGGTCTTGAACTCCTGACCTCGTTTTCTGCCCGCTTCAGTCCCCCAAAGTGCTGAGATTACAGGTGTAAGCCACAGCGCCTGGCTCACACTCAGCTAATTTTTAAATTTTGTAGTGATGGAGTCTCACTCTACGTTGTTCAGGATGGTCTGGAATTCCTGGCTTCAAGGGATCCTCCCGCCTGGAATTCTCAAAATGCTAGGATTTAAGGCACAAGAGGCATGAACCACCAGACCAAGCCTTTTTTTTTTTTTTTTTGTTTTGTTTTGTTGAGACGGAGTTTCACTGTTGTTGCCCGGGCTGGAGTGTAATGGTGCAATCTTGGCTCACTGCAACCTCTGCCTCTCAGGTTCAAGGGATTCTCCTGCCTCAGCCTCCTGTGTGGCTGGGATTATAGGCATGCACCACCACACCTGGCTAATTTTGTATTTTTAGTAGAGATGGGGTTTCTCCATGTTGGGCAGGCTGGTCTCAGACTCCAGACCTCAGGTGATCCACCCACCTCGGCCTCCCAGAGTGCTGGAATTACAGGTATGAGCCACCGCACCCGGCCTGACCAGGACTATTCTCTCTTGCTTTTCCTTCCTTTTCTTCTAACCCTTCTTTTCCTGTAGTAGTCTACATAAAGGGACACCACACACATACACATACATAAACATTCATACACACACACACACGCACACATATACAGATTTGCTCCTCCATATTCCACTGGTTCCAGATATTTAGCACCAGATATATAAACAGATTTACATCTTCTTGTTTTTCCTGTCAATCCAGCCTCCCATGAAACAGCCCCTAAGAATGAAAACCATTTCCTCCCTCAAAAGCTCTCTCCAGGGCACAGTGAGGCAGTTGACAGTTGGCCAGAGAATGGACAGACACATCTATTCACACATAGAGGCATAAGGTATTGCTTTCTTTGTACAATCATATTTGAAGGGAATAGAGGAGTTGTGTTGCTGTGCTGTTCTTGGGAAGCTTTGTGTCTTTCCATAAAAGGGTATTTTGAGGGAGTCTTCAATGTGGGGATCACAAATGCTGTTATGTCCTCGTTTCCATCAAAATTTCTACCATGTTTACATTCCTTTACAGGGTGGGATGGATAACTGCTGTTTTGGCTTTCCTGGTATCTGTGCACCCTTCTTTTGATAGCAGAATCCTGATTATACTCTTAATTTCAGGCCATGTGGTTTGACTGGGGATGACCTGGCCATTACGCTAGGATTGGATATGTAATCTAGTTCTTTCCAAAGCTGGAACTATTGGGTACAAAGCTCTCATAGTGCTGGGGCTGCTATACTGGAAGAATGTAAGGCTGGACCTGCTGGGATCAGCTTGCCATTCCATGGGGGAGCCTATGTAAGAATAAAGTCAACACGGAGAAATACAGACCCAAGAGATAAAAGACAATCCTGATGACACTGTCTGGGAAGCTCCCTCAGTCTGAGGAGAGCTTCTGTCATTTGCAACCAAATAACTTTTGAGAATCACTTGAACCTGGGAGGTGGAGGTTCCAATGAGCTGAGAGACCGCCCATTGCACTCTAGCCTGGGCAACAAGAGTAAAACTCCATCTCAAAAA